ACTTCAGGTTTCCATTCTATTTTAACCCCCGTTATTGCCTCCAGCCAATTTTTGATCCTTTTCCAAAATTTGTTAGCCTCCTCACAGGTCCACTATAAATGGTAATATGTTCCGTGTATTGATTCGCATTTCCACTATTTCCTCTTTTGATGACCCCATAATCCCTTGCGGGGTGGAATTTGGGAAACTGAATGGAGGAGAGTGTTTACTGGCCAGATGCCCTTCCTGTCGCCAATGAAGAGTCCTCGTTCCCCCCATAGCAGATATATTCTCATTGTGTCCAGAGAAATATCTCCCTCTCCCTAGGATCGAACTCACAGCCTCCAGATTGTGAGATGAGAGTTCTACATCTAGGCCACCATACCTCTCTAAATCAAGGACTACTGTTCTGATAAAATACTGCAGACTTCTTCTTTTATCTCCCAGGGTGCCTGTTTCCTGACCTGCCTTATTTCAAGGGGCTACCAGCAAAAGAGCCGTGAGGAAGACTCACCTTGACGCTCTTCTTTTCGTCTGAGCCTTCAGTCATCAGGTAAGCTTTATCACCATCAGTTCCTTCCACGCTGAGAAAGCAGTTCGTGGTGTGCCCAATGCCACTTGGCAACACTTTGTCCCACAGCATTGCATTGATCACAGAACTCTTCCCACTGCTGGTTCTGTACGACAGAGCAGGAAGAGAACGGAAAATAATGAATTTTTAAATCGAACACTGCAGCCAAGATTATGAATTGTCTGGGCAATAATTCCAGATGCCAGTCTGGAAACTCTTGATTCTGAAGCAAACTGTGTACATTTGCTACCTTCATCTCATATATCCTCACCATCTTCCTTAATGGCCCCATAATCCCTTGCGGAGTGGAGCCCGGGCAACTGAATGGAGCTAGCAGAGTGTTTACTGGCCGGATGCCATTCCTGTCACCAATGAGGAGTTTTGTTCAGCAGATACATTCTCAGTGTGCCCAGAGAGAGAAATGTCTGTCTCTACCTTGGATCAAATTCACAACCTCTTGATTGTGAGGCAAAAACTCCACCTGTAGGCCACTGTAACAATCTTATATATCAGTATCATTACCATATTTTTCGGAGTATAAGACGCTCCAAAGTATAAGACGCATCTAGCTTTTGGGGAGCAAAACAAGGGAAGAATATCTGCCTCTGCCTCCCAGCAATTTGCCTCCTTGCAACAAACAGNATAGATAGATAGATAGATAGATAGATAGAAGGATGGATGGATGGATAGACAGACAGACAATCAATTTTGCTATGTAATCTCTCCATAAAATTCCCTCAGACTAAATATATATTTTGTGGCATTTCGTGCATTCATTTTATTGTGGATAATTGCCATACCTCAGAGAGGTGGGGCAAGGTGAGATACATAAATTAATTCATAACTGTAAAATATATTAAAAGTCAGTATAAAACCAGACATCCACTTCAACCAACCTAGATTCAGCTTTTAATTCAAGACAGATATATAGTTAGAAGACCAAGCAGTTACTCATATTTATCTTTTTTGTTTCATAAACCCAACAGCTAATTTTTTCACCTTAGCAATGGAGTTTTCCTTCTGCATATATTATCAATATTTGAGGGGGGGGGGGATGAAATGCAAAGTAGCTGAGATTTGGAACCCTCTTTTTAAAACACCTTATTGCTTAAAACTGTCAAACAGTGGTTGAAACTGACTAGCTTTTTCAGTCCAAGATGAAACCAGGAAAATGCAGCAGGGCTAAAAAGCTTTAGAGTCTTATTTTCCCAGTGCCACACTGACCTAGATACTCAGAGTGTACGCGCCCTGCCTACTAGCACCGCCAATTTAATGCTGTACATGGAATCTGCTTTCCCGGAAATGGATCGTGTTGCAACAGTGGCTAACCAACCCGTGTTATTTGAAAATATATTAGTATCAAATTAACAAATAGTGCACAAATGCTATTGATGCTGCCCAAATTAAGATGTCTCATTCGAGGAAACGAAACTTTCATTTCCATACAGCCTAAAACAGAAACAAAGGAGTATGCAATAGCAAGGAACAGCTTAAAATATTAATCAGAGCAGAGGCAGCAGAGGCCATGTCTCACACATTAATTCCTAACACTAGTGTGCTGTGATATGTGCAAAGCACAAATCAAAATTAAACCCATATGGAATACAGTCCAATGGTCAAAACTACTCCCAGCTGGACTTTGACAAAAAAAGATAACTTATGCAACACATACAGAGCATATTACTTTACAGAAGGTTGCTAGGAAGCTCACATCTACTTCTCTTACAACTATATTCTTGTATAGATCTAATGTCTATGCTGGGTTCTCCAAAGTGCCAATATTGGCCCCCAAGGTACTATTTATTATTATTATTAGTACATTAAAGTAATAGTAATTAAATTATTGTCTTATAATAAATGTTTGGGGGTCAACGAGTATTAAGGAGACAATGAGCTGAAGAGTTTGGTGGACCCTATTTTTCAATTGCAGCAAGTAGACGAAAATACAGATGAGGAGCTAGCAAACTATTGAGATATCCCTCTGAAAGTTCAAAAAATGTAAGAGCACAATCTTTGGTCTGCAATTTCTTAACTGATCTGTCTGGTCTTCTCTCCCATCCAGAAGTTTCCATCTGTTGCTCCTTAAAAGCAAGACGGGTTTCTGGTTTTCTGGCCGTCAGCTCACCAGACTGCTTTCCTCTCCCCAAGGCAAGATCCTCCCAAAGCCAAGTTTCAAGCCAAGGATGGGTGGGATGGCGTGGGGGTATCCAGGGCCAGCTTTTTTGCAAAGAGACTTTTGGTCAAAGTTTTAAGGGCATTAAGCCTTGGCAAAAACAACAACAACAACAACAACAACCCTTTTCTCAAGAGTTGCAAACTTCAGAACGACCAGAAAACTTTTCACTGCTTAGCCCTTAGCAATGAAAGGTGTGCAACAAAAAAACACAACCAAAAACAACAGAAGCCTTTTAGATTGAACCCCCCCCCCCAATATCAGCTGTCCCCCTTTCTTTTGGAAACGACCCCCCCACAAAAAAACAGCTGCCCCCTAAACTCCCTCCCCCACCCCAAACTGATCAGATTTTTTTTTAAAAAAAAAGAAATATATAAGTGACTGCAAATACCTCGACCTCTTCCCCCTGGAATTTCAGGGTTGGGGCTGCCCAGGAAAGGTGGGCAACCAGGAAGCGAGGGAAAGTTCGGGCTGACACCCCCGCTCCAGAGACTGGGACTACAACTCCCGGACGCCCAACCCGCTGGGCACTGTAGTCCAACGCACCTGGGGGAGAAGCACGAGGTGGGGGGGGGGAGAAAGGCTGCCAAAACGAAGCCCTCCCCCCCACGCCCGCGCTAGGTTCCACCAATGAGCCCCCCTCCGCCTCACTAATTAAGAGGAAGGGGCTAATTAACTACCCCCCCCTTTACCTGGCGGGATGCGCGAGGGTCTTTGGCAGGACGCGCGGGGCTCGCGCCCCCCGCTTCAGAACCTCAGAGGCGGCTTTGCCCCGCCTCCCGCTCTCGCCCAATCACGAGGAAACGGCGGCCACTTCCGGCTCCTCTTCCCACGCCGGCTCTGCTTTTTGCCTCATCTTTACTCCCGGTACTTACGCGCCGGGGTTTCCTCCCGCCCCGCCCCCCTCCGGAGCATGCGCAGGACGCTTCGGAGTGCTATCTCGCGGTCTCCCTCGCCTTCTTCGTACGACAGCCTGAAGTGTAGTGGGGATCCAAACTCTCTTCCTCTTCATTCCTCCTTTCCCCGTCCCCCTTTCTCTGCTCCTTCAAAATCCGGACCCGTACCAGGTGGCAGTAAACAGAGTTTTAAAGAATTTTTTTTTAGGGTACCGTTTCGTGACCGTCTGGATTTTTGCAGCCAGATAGCATAGGTTTATCTTAAGAGGCCGGGGTAAATGGAACTGCCATCTATTTCAGGTTGCCGTGTGACTGCTGGCTATGCGGGGCAAAGGACAGTTTTCTCCAACCTGACTGTCCACGGAGATAGATATTGGAGTGGTAGTTGAGTCCAATTAAGGGTTTATGTAAAGCAGTGTTATCTTTCTCTCTTTTAAAAAAAAAACTTTTATTTAAAGAAGATTTTATGTAGATTTAAAAAAAAACTATAGAAAGATACCGGTAAAAGAAAAAGCAGAAAAAGAAAGAAAATGTAGAAGAATGAAAGAAAAAGAGAAAGATGAGAAAAAGGAAAGAAAACTAAGATACCTAAAGAAGTGGTTTTCAATCTTTGTGGCAGTTACAAACATAGCAATTGCCTATATAATATCGTCTTCCAATATTACAATCCTGACTCTCTTCTTCCCATAGACAAACTTTTAATCAATAAATCCGGAATCACCAGTTCATTTTTGTCCATTTTCAGAAAAATGTCCGTAAAGGGCTTTTAGTCTTTTATATAAATAATTATACTTTCTTAATCAAACAAGCCAATTTTGCCATTTCTGCAACTTGGCATCTGTAAGGCGAAGTTTCCAACAGCTATAAGATGGGTGGACTTCAACTCCCAGAATTCCTCAGCCAGCCCAATGTCACGTGCCCAGATTGAGAGACATTGCTGTATAAAGCCTGTAGTAGTTTAACGTAGAAGCTATTCCTTAGCTCCATAAATGCACTTCTCTTTTTCCATGAAATACACTATTAAATTTAGTCGAAGAAAAGAAGCCAGGATTTCTTAGGGTTTTTTCTTCTCTCTCATATAGACTGAAAACAGCAACAAAGACCAAAACAGCTTATTTCCTGAATGGGTCTGAGATAGTAGACTTTTCTTCCAAATCTTTTGGAAAATAGAAACAGTAAGATAATTTGGATAAAGAAAATAGACTCCAAAGTTTTAGATTGATATTAGCTTTTTAGTGTTGCTTTCTCTCCTTTATGAAGTCTTATCTTTCCTGCCATTTTCTCTCTTGGGTGTCCTGTTTACATATTAATGTTACTGGCTTTTTTTATATGTAGCTTTAGGCTTCTTGTAAATTGGCACATCCTTGATGAAGCTTGTAATTTGTTAAATGAGGTTTCATTTATTTAAAATCTGTACGGAAAACTCAGACACAGGAGAGGTAGTTGTTGGTTAGAAGGCTCATGGAGCTGCTAAATCTGTTGGCTCATTGATCTGCTAATGACCTCAGGATGTGGAGGTGTCTAGAGGCTACAGGTAGCCCTGACCTCCAAGTGAACTCCAGGCAATAGGACAAAAGAACTCCTAAGCCTCCAAGGCTGAAACTGATAAAGCCTATCTTTAGATAGGGAAATTGGCAAATATCAACAATCTAAATAAAACTGCGGATGGGTGGGGGAGAATCTCAAGATATTAGATTCGAAGTTCCTCATTTCATTAAGAGATTTCTTCACACACCTCTATCTGAGGTCACAAAAGATAAAGATTGCAAAATCCCCACAGGGAGCCAAGCTGCATTTCCTCCCTACCAAACCAGATGTGCTTTCTAGTTAAGAGAGGCTATAATTTTGCACGCTTTCCAGGAATAACAAAGACTTCTCTATCAAACCAACCACTTCCAAACTGATATTATGGGGCCACCCTTCAATTCCTAGATTAGGCTAGATTGTTTACCCAGTTGGTAATTCCTTCATTGGGTTATTGCTCATTGCTTATCTGGGCTTTAGTGGCTGGTTAGGAGTTATTGTGGTATGTTAGCTTTTGGATGATCCCTTTTTTGAATGTCTATGAAAATTCTCAGTCATCCAGGTCACGGTTGTCCCAAAGAAGCTTTTTCAAGAGGCAACTAGACTTTCTGGTTTTTCTTTCAAAACATTTCTCTTTTGAATGATACTATAGAACATAAAATAATAGGGCTGCAAGGGATCTCAAAGATCTTCTACTTCAACCCCCCTATGCAAGGCAGGAGACCTTATGCTATCCTAATTAAATGGCTGTCCAGTCTGCTTTTTAAAACCTCCATTATTCCATTAATTGTTCTCACAGTCTGAAAATCTCTCCTTACTTCCAAGTTAGATCTCTCTTTAAAAAGCACCCACCCATTACTTCTTGTCCTGCTCCCTGGTTGTTTGGGGTCAATCCTCTCTTTGTAACATCCCCTTAAGTACTGGAAGACAGTCATCATATCTCGTCCCAATTCTTTTTGATAGGGTAGACCAGGGTTGTCCAAACTTGGGAACTTTAAGACTTGTGGACTTNTGGACTAGAAGACCTCCAAGGTCCCTTCCAACTCTGCTATTGTATTGTATTAATATGAATCCATTCTCAAACCCCCTCTCTGCCACTCAGTTTCATAACCTAAATCTTTTTAATGCTTCTGTGACATTAGAGCAGTTAATCAATCAAATGAAGCTGAGTCCATGTGTCATTCTCAGGCCAATTAGAACCAAAACAATGATTCAAGAGATAATAGGTGGACAAAGATCAAAGCACCAACAGTTCCCCTCGCACATGTGTGCTAATCGTAGTCCTGACTTTTAAGGGGCGGTGCTCATCTGTTTCAAAGCTGAAGAGCCAGCGCTGTTCGAAGACGTCTCCATGCTCATAAGCAAACGCCAAAGGCGCACGGAACGCTGTTACCTTCCCACCAAAGTGGTCCCTATTTTTCTACTTCCATTTTTTACGTGTTTTCGAACTGCTAGGTTGGCAGAAGCTGGGACAAGTAACGGGAGCTCACTTTGTTATGCGGAGCTAGGGATACGAACCGCCAAACTGCCGACCTTTCAATCAACAAGCTCAGCATCTTAGCCACTGCGTCCCATGCACCAACATTAGTAAGATACAATTAGTTTGAGGCCTTTTTCCGGTTATAAAGTGTGTTGAGGCACCAATTTTTGGCTATTTCTTCCTTTATAGAGTTATTATAAGAAACAGAAAACCTGCCAGCAATTTATTGGCTGACCAAAATGTAAGGAATCTGATATTCGGCTTGTGGCATTGTGTACAATAAAACATTTGTGAATTTTAACTACTGTTAAAAGAGTGATGAAACAAACACCTTCCAAAGGGACACCACAGGAATATTCCAAAGTGTGAAACACTTCTCTTTGAATCATTTAAGCTTTTGTGAGGTTCATGCAGCTGCTCCCTATCTTCCCGTACATGGGCCAGTGCAGCTGCCCTCCACCCCCCAACCCTTACTCTCCCCCAAATATGCATTCCTTCTCCATCTGGACTTAAAACCAACCTTCAACAAAGTTTGCTCCTTCAGTAACAAAATTCAGTAGTTCTTCAAAAATGGCAGTAATTGTCTTCTTGGCCATCACAAAGTGTTTGAGTGGAGAGGTATTAGAGTCCGCCATGATGGAACTGAAATGATATTGAAGTGAACAATCAGGTATTCAGCTGGAAACCAGGAGACTGTTAAGTTCTAGTTCTGCCTTCGGCATGGAAGCTGGTGGATGACTTCTGACCAATCACCGAGAGACAGTGAGTTCTAGTTCTGCCTTTGGCATTAAAAACTGGCTGGGTGACTTTGGGTCAGTCATTTCCCCTCAGCCTAACCCACCTCACAGGTTTGTTGTTGTTGTTGGGAAAATAGGAGGTAAAAGGAACATTAGGTATAGTCACCAACTGGAGTTATTTATATAAATAATAAAGGTCAGACATGAAATAAATAAATCCCACCCAGAAAATGTCTTCCATGGTCATAAACAGAGTTTTAACTCCATGATGACCTGGGAAGAAACATGGATGGTTAACTACCTGTCCAAAGGGAGATGGAATTCTAGATAGACTAACAAATGTATCCACAATGCTTCTTCCAGCCCCCAGTCAAAGCAAATATGAGAAGTCAGGGGACAGTTGAAGCTGACACCATTTTGGTGAACTCCATTTGTGTGTTTTCCTTGATTGTGGGAAATGTATGGATGTATGGATGTATGAATGGATAGATAGATAGATAGATAGATAGATAGATAGATAGATAGATAGATAGATAGATAGNGTCACAAGCAGTGGTGATATGTCACAAGCAGTGGTGATTTGATATGGTCACAAGCAGTGGTGGGTTCCTACCGGTTCGGACTGGTTCAGCTGAATTGGTAGTGGTTTGGTGGCCTGCCTGCCACAACCCCGAACTGGTTACCAGGGAGGCGTCGTCGGCAGCGCCATCTTGTTTAATTCTGTGCATGCCCAGAACAATGTTTATTGCATTGCTCATGCGCGCACATAAGCGAACCGGCAGTAGTGCCTGCCGGAACCCATCCCTGTCTACAGGATGCCTCAAATGATGTTGGGCACCTGAAGTGTGGTCATGGGACTGCAGGGGGGGGGGGGCATCATGTGACTGTTTGTGGGATACTTCAAACTGGGTTGTAAGGCTCCCCCAGGTAAGTGTTGAGGGCTATCTACCTTACAACTTTGAGGGCAAGAACTACAAAGTTGCTTTCACTTCTAGTGATAGCAAAGCCACTGTAAACACTAAGTTGCAGATATTCTATTTTTATGGCAAACGCACTGTGCCAGAGGCAAGAGGATCTACAGGAGCAGGCAAGGCAGAAAAGTCAAGATGGCAGCTGCAACTAAAGCCTGGGGCCCTTTTTCGGAGGAAAAAATCCTGAGACTGATATAATCTACTCAGAAATCATATTGTACAAGCATTGAGTGAAAATTGGCTACGGAACTGCACTGGGGTGACTCTTAATTCTGAGCTTAACTTCCTCGTGAAGTATGGTTTTAATGACTTCTCAGGTAATGTGTTTGAAATAATATAAAACGTATTTCCCAAGAGAAGAACCTCACCCATTTATTCCCACAAACGGCAACTCCTTACCTGCCAAAAAAAGCTACTTTCATATGCCGTCGTGCTAATACTTCACCAATTACGGCCAGCTTGTTTTTATAGGCCTGTATTTTTTTAAGTTCGTCCATGGTAGCTATGGATTCAAGCTGTGGGTTTCTGTGGGTTTCTGTCATCGGAGAGAAAAACAAGAGTTATAGAAGGCTACCGCAGTACTACAATACTTTTTCCATGCAATTTTACTAAATCCATGCAATATTAAGGGAAAACGTTTTCTCAAAGAGCTGCCTTGTGCCAATACTATGAGTTTTCAAAGGACTATGGGCAGGAGTGGGTTTCTCGCCCCGTTCCAACCGGTTCGGTTGGAACAGGGCTGGCGGCGTCCTCGTGCACGCGCGCGGTGCACGCATGCGTACTAGTGTCTGTGCGATGCTCCAGCTGCTCCTGGAGGATCGCGCAGGCGCTGTATGNCCTCTGGAGCCTGGGGAGGGCGAAAAATGATTTTAAAAAAGGCTGAACTCAGCTTTTCAGTTCAGAACTCAGCAACACTTCGCATGCCCTGACAAATGGCTCCGCGTGTCACTAGATGATGGGGCTAGATGATCTCCAAGATACCTTCAACATTTACATTCTAGGATACAGACATTAACATTTGTACTACAACCAATTACTTTGTCCTGTTACTTATACAATGTAACAATGAATTATAGACAGTCTATGCCCAGAATTTTAAGAATTCGTTTTTTAATTAACCAATTTCATCTAAAAAAATCTAGGTTCTGCAAAGTTTAATAAACACATTCGGGAGGAAATGCAATTTATGGTAACTAAAATTGGGTAAATATAGCTACATTTGATTTACCCGAGTAGCGTGAAGGATGCAGAGTCTTCCTTTTCCTTTTCTTTGGATGCTCATTCATTTTGCTTTAGTCTGAAATAACTGTAGGCAGCAATCAAAGTCAAACATTTCAGTTAATGCACTACTGGTCAATTTGCAGTTATAAAGAATAAAGAGAAACATAGATGGAATCCTCAAAAGAGAAACCCAAACACCACTCCATTGACCCAACACAATTAATCTATCTGCCCAAACACCCACCAAGTGCTCTTTCAGGTGGGTTCAGTTAAAATACAGACCCAGATCTCCCAAGTACAATTGCCCTTAATTTGGGGCACCAAAAATACTGATCTGCTGAGAATTTTGCAACTGCCATTCAACAGACTGGGAAGAAGGTTGTTGGAAGTGGCAGTGCTAACTGATCCCTGGATGTTTTTTAAGAGAATGTCCAATAAATCTAGGCTGCCAATTATTTAACAGCAGCAGCGGCAACAATAACACAAATTACTTAGAATTGAGCCCACTCCTGTTGTTTTTGGCAATGATATTTAGTAACTCGCCACTGCTCTCTTTTGGATGAATTTCAGAAGTTTCCTAATCTAGCTCTGAAATGCCCTGGAAGTCTTGTATTTAAATAATCCTCGAATTATGACAGTTCACTTAGTGACTGTTTGAAGTTACGCAGTGACCCCGCAAGTATTTACGACATAGTCCTGAAATTACGAACGTGCAGCACAACGGCAGTCATTCACCCTTATGAACAACCGCAGAGGCACTACAACATTCACCCTGTCTATTCCCTCCCCCCCTCCCCCCCCCGGCATTCCCACAATTGCTTCCCCCTCCCATTCTGCCCTGCCGGACTCACCATGCGAAGATCTGTCTCCTCTCTGCCAAGGGGTTTGGGGGTTTTTTGTTTGGAGAAATTGCACTGCCTCGAAGTGTCCCATCGGCTGGCAAACATTTTGGGCAGAAACTGGAAGCTTCTGGGCACTGTGATCTCACAGGACTTCAGGCTGCGAGATCACGGCCCTCAGAATCTTCCAGTCTCCATGCAAAACCTTTGCAAGCTGACGGGATGCTTTGAGGCAGCAGGATTTCACTCCCTCAAAGGGTCCCACCAGCTTGCAAATGTTTTGCGTGGAGACTGGAAGCTTCTGGGGGCTGTGATCTTGCGTTGAATGAGAGGCTGGATAGGAGACAGCTTGCTAGATCTTCACAAGGAAAGTTATACAGTGTGGCAGGATGGAGTGGGGGGAAGCAAACGCATGAGGTATCTCAGTGGGTCAGAGGAGGCTTTGGGTGGTCTAAAGCAGGTGGCCTACTCCATCACTAGGCCCCTCCCATGGCCTTCCCCACCCTGAGATACCTCATGGGCACTTAATGACCTACGCATTCGATTAGCAAATGCGTGGGTGAAAGCAGCGAGGTTTCTTGTTCATTTTACGTGATTCACTCCAACGAATCCTCAGGTTACAAATGTAATCAGCAGGCTCCATTACATTCATAACTTCAGGACTACCTGTACCAAATACAGGTATGTGTCCTCCATGGCCAGGTGACCACACTGCAAACGCTTGGCAAGCAGGCAACTGTTTTCAACATCTTGAATGCGTTTTACAATAGTTTGGATTTCAACATTCATTTAATGACAGTGGATCAATGGTTGTTCACTGAATAACAGCCACAAAAAAGACAATAAGAATCAAATTATGCAAAGAAGCAGGAAGTTCTCCAGCTGAACAGGAATTGGGATGTGAGCTTTTTAGAGCCTCACATGAACCCTGTCTGATAAACCAAGTCCGAGGTCCTTTTTGGATCAGAACCCCCCTGGAGGGGGGGGGGCGAAGAAGGGGCAGTGTCTCATCAGATCCAGAGGGCGGCAACAGGTCCCTCGCAGATCGGAGATTTGGCCTCTGAATCGGAGTAGTGGCAGCAGCATGGCAACATGACTGCACAAGAAGCTGGATTCCAGCCAAAGCAACTGAACAGGAGCGTGAGGAAGAGATTGAAGACAGGTAAGAAGATTCATTTAACCCAGTGATAAATCCAAACTTGGAAAAGGCAAAGAATTTTGACAGTACAAATAATATTAATAGACAGATCTGGATTCTGGCAAAAGGAAAGAAAGAGAAAATGGAGGGTTGAAACACTACCCCCCCCCCCCAAAAAGCCATTTGTTTCAAACAATTTGGACAGAAAGGGAGAAAGCAGAGAAGTGACGAACCCACTCAAATACAAACTCTAAATTTGGTTTTGGATTTAAAATACTAACCAAATATTCCGAGGTGATTTATTTCGTCCAAATTTCTTCTAACTCCAATTAATGAGAGATGGAATGCAACAAGGGAGAAAAATCAAGGAAAAAGCACTATTTTCTCACTGATAACTGATAACCTAATCTTGCCTGTGTGGGATATTAAATTAACCACCTGCCATAAATCAGAACTTAGAAAAGCAGGAGACGAAGCAAACATACCCGAGTTGGCTGTTCACAAGTTTGTTCCAATTAATATGTTTTGAGCAACCATAAGGTAGCAGGGAAAAAAATAATAATAAAATCAAGAACTGGGAAAATACGAAGTTTTTTTTTTAAAACAAAAGATCAAGATGGCTCCAGCTTCTCTTCTGTTTTTACATTAGCTAAATTTAAGGTGGATCGGAACTTTGAAATAAGAACGGTATAACTAACTTCAATTTTGGAACTGGACATTAAGGAAGAACAAAAGATAAGATGGCTTCTGTCACTCTTTTCCACAGCAGTTGAATTAGATAAATTTAAGGTGGACCAGAACTCTGAAATAAGAACTGTAAAACTAACTGTAACCTTGGAACTGGACATTATGGAGAGGTTGGAATTTGAAGAACTATTTACAGAGGTGTTTTTTTTTTAGGATATGAATTGCTCGTTATTAAATGTAGATGCCCAAAGGCCTGAAGCATTAGAAATGACACTCAATAATTTCTCAAATAAAAGACGTTCACAAGTGCTTTTCAATTTAATATTACCACAATATCTCACTCAGATGCCTGAGCAGCGTGCTGCCCCCAAGGGGGCTTTTGGCAGGCTTTCTTGCAGCTCAGGGAGTTGTCCAACTCGCTTGCAGCTGCTGCCATACTGAGATGAATTAATCCTATTTCTTTCTTTAAAATTCTTTCCAAATTATCGGAGATCCAGGATGGCAATCCATCCAGTTGAGGGACTGAGTTGATATCTGGGCGGAGCCTGGTGGACCAGGGGCGTATACCAAGAGCTTATCTGACTCAGTCCAATCAACGAGAGAATAAGCTCAACATATCCTGGATACTCCTCCCCTCACTACGGAGAAAGATATGACAATATTTGCTCAGGGTGATTCGTTTCTGTCAGTTTCAATGCATAATTCATAAGTGTGATCCTGATATGGCAGAACCCAGCTAGACTGTTCTCAATTCTCACCAGGCAATTTACTTTAGTATTGTATATTACTTATAAAATAAATTGTTCTTGATTTGATATCACTTTTAAACAAAAGCTGCCCCCTTCCAGCACAAATCTGGTAATTTCAGTAAACCTGCAGAGAATGTCCAGACATTCAAACTCATTTATAAGACTCTCATTTCTGGATAATAAACAAAATGACAGATCCTGTTTAAATGTGGCTGGAGGCTGCATATGTGGCTTAAAAAACTATAGCCTGAAAGCATGCACCTGGGAAAAAGCACAATCAGAAACAAAATGACCCATTCTTTCCAGGTAAGCTAGTGAGAGGCACTATTTAAGAGATGTGAGTGAAAAGGGATTATGAAGTTATTTCCCTGAAACTTTTTTAAAAAAAACAAAAACCACATAATGCTTCTCTATCCACACTACAAAGTGTTGAATGAAAGAAAACACTATAGTAAAAATTTCCCCAACTGAGTGGAAGTACACTTGTGATGGTATTTTATCTACAAGTGGAATTTAAAACCCAGCAGGAATAAACAGTGGGTCTCTGTCTTGGTTCTCTATTGTTGAAAAAACTCCTTTTTTCAGAAGCTTTAGATTATTGACAAGCTTTGACAGCTGAAATTTGTCATTATCACCAATGCAACTCCCTGTTCTGAGGGCTGAACAACAAAGCTTTCATTGTGATGTAAAGTGAAGCTCTGTAGTTTAGGGGCCAATGGGAATAAAGGGTCAGCCTTTTCTTGAAATTGGAGTGAGTGTATTCATCGTAGTTTTTGTTAATTTCTATGAGGGTTTACCAAAATGTAAGCATCTTCTCTAAGAATTATACAACTTTTGGCTGTCGCTGTTTTGAACATCTCATTTTTTCCTCCTCTTTGATGTTCAAGAATAATATTGTGGGCAGAATGAAATGATCCGAAAGAAAATTTGTCTGAGCATTTTCCTCTAACTATAATGAATCCTTTGCAATATGATTTTTTCAGGTTAGATTTTCATTTAACCGTTTGCATCTCCAAATCTGTAAAATAAAAATATGAAAGAACATTCAAGTTTCTTTTAAAAATATTTTTATTCAAAAAATTAAAAAGAAAAAATTCTAAAAGAAAAAAATCAACAAAAACAAAACAAAAGTAGCCAAGAACATTAAAAAAAGTAAAAAGGACAAAAAAACCCACCCCATGTCATTCACCCTAGTTGAGCACTGACAAATCTATTGCAATAGTTCCCCCCTTGCAAAACAGGTCCACAATTTATAAATTTCTACATCTCTCTGCAACCTAACTGACCTGTCATATGTTATATATATCTGAAAAACAATAGCAAAGTAAAGGCCTTCTGTAAACAGTCTACCATTGTAATTTACTCAGAGTACAACAGTTTCTTATCTATTACAAATCACCCCAGTCATTATTGCTAATCTGTCCAGGATCAAATACTGTACTCTCCTTTGGCTCTTAATAATGAAACTTTTCCTTAGGTTTTTAATTTGAAACTTTCCCAATAATTTCTTCTCATTTCCATAATTCATAAGTCTCTGTTGTAAATATCTCTGCAACATCCATGTTTGCAAAATTATCCTTAAAAACACATTCCTCTTGCCAAGGAAGTCCAGTCTATTGTTCATCAATTCCATTATCTCAGAATTTCTTGCATTCATATTCCTTCCAATTTCTTCTGGCATATCTATATTTTTCAAACCAAGTGCTTTCTTCTTCACATCTGACAGCAACATATTAGATTCCAATTCATCAAGTTGCAAATCAAATCCTCAATGCCTCAGCCAGAGTTGTTTTGAAAGTTGACACCATTATTATTTCCTGCTTTAGGATATGGTCTTGACTGTGGTTCACTGTTGACCCAGAAAATTTTTTGCTTATATTTTCAAATGAAATNTAATTGTTCTCACAGTCTGAAAATCTCTCCTTACTTCCAAGTTAGATCTCTCTTTAAAAAGCACCCACCCATTACTTCTTGTCCTGCTCCCTGGTTGTTTGGGGTCAATCCTCTCTTTGTAACATCCCCTTAAGTACTGGAAGACAGTCATCATATCTCGTCCCAATTCTTTTTGATAGGGTAGACCAGGGTTGTCCAAACTTGGGAACTTTAAGACTTGTGGACTTCAACTCCCAGAATTCCCCAGCCAGCTATGCTGGGAGTTGAAGTCCACAAGTCTTAAAGTTCCCAAGTTTGGACAACCCTGGCCTAGACATATCTAGCTCCCTCAACAGTTCATCATAGATTTAACCTCTGGATCCTTAATCATCTTTTTCTTTTCTATAGTTTCTAGAGCTTCAGCATTTTTTTTTCATGGTGACCAGAACTGTATGTAGTACTCCATCTGTTGCCTCACGAGTGTGGTAAAATAGCAGTAGAATTTACACGTATATGCCGCTTCAGTGCTTTACAGCCCTAAGCTGTTTTAGAGTCAGCATATTGTCCCCAACAATCTGGCTCCTCATTTTATTGATCCCAGAAGGATGGAAGGCTGAGTCAACTTTGAGCCTGGTGAAATTCGAACTGCCAAATTGCAGGCAGGCAGGCAGAAGTAGTCTACAGTACTGCATTCTAACCAGTGTGTATGTATGAATGAATGATTTTGTATGTATATGTGGTTTAGTTCTATGTGCCTGTTGATGGCTGATTTGACCAAGCGCCAGGCTTTCAGTAATTCTCTAGCATTTTTTTTTACTTAGCTTCATCCAAAAGTGGCATATCTCCTCATTCAAGAACATTCTGTCATGGTTGGATTTTTCATATGGGGGAAACAGCTATTTTTAGACAACAGGAATGATGGACTTCTGTTATGTGTTTGTAACAACTGCTACATAACGTACAGGTAGTCATCGACTTAACGATCACAACTGAGCTCCAAAATTATGTTAAGTGAAACATTTGTTAAGTGCATTTTGCCCCCATTTTACGACCTTACTTGACATAGTTAAGTGAATCACTGCCGTTGATAAGTTAGTAACCTGGTTGTTAAGTGAATATGGCTTCCCCGTTGGCTTGTCAAAGGATTGCAAAAAGTGATTATATAACCGTGGGACATAGTAATGGTCTAAGTATGAATTAGTTGCCAAGCATCTGAATTTTGATCATATGATCATGGGGATACGTCACAGATCATAACTGTGAAAAACATTCAAAGTCCCTTTTTTCAGTAGGTATAACTTCGAACAATCACTAAATGAACTGTTATAAGTTGAGGACTCCCTGTATAGCCTTATTTCCCCCATGGTATGACAGATCCAAATCCAAGATGTACATGTTGAAACCTAAAAATTTTTAAGTGAACTTTATAGAAATTGGGCAGTTAAGCGGGCTTTTGACTGAATAAAATCACATTAACCATCAACCAAGAAGAGAATTAACTCTCCACAGCTACAATACTCATGGCAATTGTTAGATGTTGTTAGATTCATTAAAATGAAGAATCTTTTGGGGCCACAGCATTCTATTAACAGAACTGCTAAAATAGCTCAACATAAACAGGTTGTTAGAAATGGTTCACTCAGTAACTAGCATTACTGATGCTTTACATAGCAACGTTTCATTTTTAAAACAAAACTGCTTTACAGTAGGCTTGGAAATTAAAACATTGGATAAGAGGACAATATCTGTCCTGGGCACATGTCCCGTTTAACTCAATGGAACCTACTTCTGAAAAGATACGTCTAGTACTGTAGAGTATTATGCTGCTGATAATATTTTAGGCTAATTGGTTTTCTTGTCTCAGGGCTGATTCATACTGAATATGGGATATTTATTTTTAATAAAATAAATGGAAAAAAGATAGTGTGGATAGAAATATATGTGTGTTTAAATCGAGGATTCTTGCAGAAACAGAGTAATGAATCACAAAAGTAAAAATGATATGAAAGATTTTTTTGAAGAGTATTTAAAACTCATTAATTATATTGCCTATTTATTTGTTCATACTCTTTTTATTTCGCTCTTTAGCCAAAACTGGTATTTCCAATATTATCATTATAGAGATACTTGCAAAAAAAACCCACCTCTTAATGGCTAGATTTAAGGTATCTGTGTATGAGAATGACATTCAGTCCTATGGTTCTATAAATAAAAGCAAATACTAGGAAATCTGTGAGGTAGAAAGTTCATCATGCACATGAAGTAAGCTCAGATGACAAACTCATGTCACGTGTCAGGGCACATATCTAAATAAGTTCTGTTTTGATTTTTAAATAGTAATATGAACACAAATAATACACATTTGGCTGGTTATGTTTATTTCTGTCATAGAATTTAATGCTATTTTCAGACAACTGTACATGTTATCTATTATGCATTAAACATTTGATGAAATACTCTATCCAGAGGCTCAGCTGCTTTTTATGCTGATGGAAACTCTGAAATGCTATTATTCTAGGACAGGCGAGAAAATTCACACAACCACAATCAAGCAGTTTCGTGTATCTGAAGATGACTCAAAAGGTCTCTTTCGTTACCAAACCTCATCAAACAATCAGTGCACTTGTGAGGCAGTTCAGCTGAATGCCTGAAGTCCAAGTGACTTCTGAGGTCTCCAATCTGTCCTGTCGAATATTCGCAATATTGACACAAATAAATGCCTTCAGTCAGGTGGCCGTTTAAGTGTTTGCAATATTCCAACATGCCTGAGAAGCCTTTCCCACATTCATCGCAAACATGAGGGAATATTTTGGTGTGCTCTATCGCCACGTGGCGATTGACATTGGTGTGAAGCCTGCTGCGGAAGCCGCACACTTGACACACAAAGAAGTTCTTGCACTTGTCAAAGCTGATCTTGCTGACCAGGCTGTAATGGCCCTGGGGCTGCCTGCTGTTGTAGCTGTCGCTCAGCTCTATCAACCGGCCCGCGTGCTCATTCACCACATGGCTGTGCAAGTCTTCGGGGTCGCTCGTCTCGTGCTCACAGAACTGGCACAGGTAGAGCTCATCACAGCTGTGCTCCTGGAAATGGAGGTATAACTCGCTACTGGAAGAGAACTGAACATCACACTGCTCACACCAGTAAAGATGGTCGCTGAAATGCGTGTCCGCTATATGCTGGCTCAGGTTTTCAATCATCACAGTTTTGTAGTCGCAATATTTGCAAACGTAGGGGTCCTCGTCATGAAGTTTCAAGTGTTCGATGAGCACTTTTTTGGAAGAGAAGGTTTCCTTGCACACGCGACAGATGTTGCCCTCGGGGCAGGTTTTATGCTTTAGAACCATGTGCTGCTTCAGGTCAGAGAAATACTTGCTGTTAAACGTGCAGCGTTCACATTTGTACAAACCGCTGCTGTTTGCTCGTAGCAGGGGCCATTTGGGCGGAATGGCGGCGTTCGAAGGAGGATTTTTGTCAAGCCCCTTGCAACTTCCAACTGGGATTTCCTCTGCCTCTTCTGCTTCAAGTTTCTCGGGGGAAACGGTCTGAGTTTCAATGTCATGGACCTCAACAGCTTGGACTTCAGTAGTGGAGATCTCTACAGTTTGAATGTCCAAAGGCTTCTCCTCTTCTGTCAAACTGTCACTGAAGACGGGGGACTCGCACGAATCTTTAAAAACTCCGTTATTGTTGTTTTTATCTGTAAAAGGAGCCAAGACCAAACTTACAAAGAATGGACTCTATTACATTTTTATATTTTAATGTATGGAGTATTTCTTTTATCAAAACAACCAACACCACCAGGGGACAGATTTTAATTCTATTCCTAAGGGGGGGGGGGAGTGCCAGATCTCCCTAAGAATAAGTAGAGGGAGGTACTGAATGCTATGATAGAAAATAAAAGCTAACTTGCAATATCATTATTTTTGTTGGAATACTATATTCTTTGCGTATTTATTTTGTCAGTTCTGCTGAACTCATCTGAACTGCAAACCTGAATCTCAAAGGTGTGTATTGTCCTTCATTAAGAAGCTGAAGATAGCTTTCTTATATTCTATATGTTGTTATATAAAACTCTCACATGCTTTGGGAACAAGCCCAGTAGCAAAGGATTCTGGTTTATAGCCCCAAACATCTGGAGGGGATGAGATGATCTACCTTTGTTCTAATGACTACAATGCACAGGCTCTTAGTCTCTAAAATGTTTAACGTTCAGAAAGGGGTTTTATTACTTGACATCTATTTTCCCCACCCCACCCCTTTTCTCATTTTGGCATTATTAAGAATAGGGAGAGTAAATAGGAACCGACACAATCGCCTTTCTCTTACCTTTTTTCTTAGGGTCCATCAAATGTGTCCCTGGAACATTAGACTGGATCCCACTCCACTGAGATGTCCCAGCATACACCGGGCTGCCATCCTCCTCAGTATCTATACTAGACGTCGTGTTATGAAATCGACCTGTGGAGAAAAGAGATTATTCTATTTAATTTAATCAATTTATATAGGCACCTATTCAGCACACAATTCAGCGCATTCCTGTGTTAGCCTCCTAATTCAATTCATTCCTTTTCAGTAGCTCTACAACATGCAAATCAGAGCATGTTTCATACTTTGTTATGATAATATTTGTAACAAATAATATGGCTCCCTCCTGCTTGAGTACACTGTAGTACATTTTTAAAAAAAAACTAACATTATTTCCTCTGTACAGATAGAATAACTACAGACACTGAGAAAGTCTGCTAAGTTATGCCTGCTTCTCCTAAACTTGTCCATATTTATTATGTTATGCATGGTATGTGATGATATAACATGACCACATGTTTTAAAACATTACTGTTTCCTTAAATATTTAAATTTCCAATGCATATTTTAACACACCAATCTGAACTGATTACTTGAAATCATATCTACTCAGAGGCAGAAGTTCTTTCAAAAATATTAGTAATCCTGTCAAATGTTTCTGAAGTCACCTATATCAGTAAAAGGTAGTTGTCTATAAAAATGGAGTTGCCAGTTGTTGCCTTGTGCAATCATGACACATTATGATGGCTCAAGTACCCTTAATTAACCCCAACTTTTAATTCCATTATATACGTATGTGTGTGTATGTGCATAAAATTCATCAAACATATTTTCATAAATCACTCTACATTTCATGCCTTTTCATTTTATCATAAATTTTAAACCTCACACATGCAGTAAACTTTTCTTTTTCACTTGCACATATAAAAATCTCTTCTGCAGATTCTATTCAACATAAAGCCACAGTACACCACTCACAATTCTGCATATCTTATAACCTTTTGATATAAAATTGGGCGAACAATCCTCAGCATATAACAAACTAATGTCCTTGTAGATTTTGCATTCCCTTTTTATCTTTTCCTTTGTTCAAAATAATTGTCAAGCACAAATGCAAACAAATATTAAGCAGCATAGACATATCAAAAGCAATTTTCCCATCCAGTTACACCATATACTTCTGCAGTCTTACAATTTTTAACACATCCTGACAGCATTTATAGTTATCTTTTCATAAATTTTTGTTGGTTCCCGCTACATAGTCCTTAAAATAGGATATTTTGCAAAATACTATTCAAATCTTTCATAACACGTACAAGGAGATAGGCAACCTGCTCAAAAATATACCTGCAAATAAATTTGCAAAATGCAAATTTTACCTCGGCTTTCAGGAACTTTTGTGTCTAGCTGTTTCATGGAACAGACACTGTAACAATGGTCAGAAAATATGCCACTATTATCTATGTATTTTGGAATTCCTGAAGAATCTAAGACAGAAAAAAAGACAAAAGTATGAACTTAAAATATCTGATGGAATATATTTCTTGAGATTGGCATCAATTTTCTTGTGGCTAAATTATTTGATGTTATAGAGAATATAGTAAAATCCTTAATAGGTTTCTTTAAAAAATACTGGGTAGGCCACATTTATTCCTAGTTAAGTGTTACAGAACTGCAGACCAAGAAAGGAATATATAAATGCACAAAAATTGGATGGTGGTCTATGACTCTAATAAACTTCAACTAACATAAAACCAGTAGGTGGCCTGTTATATATATGAGAGAGGAAGAATTCTTTCTCTTCTCTTGATCCTCTTTACCAGGTATTATTATATTTATGGAAGAAAGAGATAAGTAATAACAATGCTTAATACTGAAGCTGAATGCAACACAAAAATGGGATTTGTGCTCCTGTAGATAAAATTGTATCTTTGAATCCACAATTCTATTTCTCATGCAGATCTCTCTCTTCTTTTCCCTCCTGTTCTAAAATTCAACTTTTCTGATAGTAGATGATATAGCCTATCAGAACAAAAACTTGAAAGCCTGAAAGTTTCTTTTCCTCTCCTTATACTCAAGATAATCAAGAAGGCCAATCTTGATTTTCTTTCTCACCTCCTCCAGCCTTCTTAATTGCAAAAATTCTTCTATCTATCTGCTTCTACCCAGTGTCAGGGTTCCAAATAACACCCCCAACGAAAGAAGACTCCGAGGCTTAAAAGTTCCATTTTATTAGAGATGTCATATTGGCACATCTGGGAAAACCCGAATCCAGGTTTTCCCCACCCAAACCAAAGTTCAAGTCCCTGCCCAGCAACCACATGCCCATCACATGATCCAATCAGGCACCATCCAAAACTGGAGATGCCTGCCAGTCACTTCATTACAGCTGCAGGGCAAGATGGCCTTGACTTTCTGAGAAAGAATGTTATTTTGACTATGTATCAACCATACTCCATATAATCCCCCCTCCCATTTCTCCACAGTAGATGGCTTCCAGGTCTGACACCCAGAACATATACAGGGACACCTTGTTTTCTCTTTCGTGCCTCTAATCTTCTAGCAGCTACCAGCCCTACCCAGAAGACTCAGATTCCTTGCATTTTCCTCTTCTTTGCCAGGTTTGCCCAACTTTAGTCTCTTGGTTTCTTTCTGTGTCAGAAAATCACTATTATTTCTTTATCCATTCTTCTGCTAGTCTCTAAATCTGATGGTCCTTTATTGCACAGTGGCTTGTCCTTTGATTCATTTTTTTTTTGAGGGGTAATCTATGGCTGCTCTCGTCTTCATTTAAGCAAAGAAAGGTAGCAGTTCTCTGAGGTCATTCGAAGTACTCACAGGTAATTGGTTTAAAAAAAAATAAGACAGGACCCAGAGGGCATTACTATCCTCTCTATAAAGAATTTTATCAGGACTCTGTTTCCAGAATATTGAAGAGACATAATAGTAATAGAATAGGTAGAATTACTGGGACATAATAATAACAATTTGCTATTTCGCTTCTGTAAGAATTGCTTTGCTCCTGTAAGAATTAGAATTGCATCTACCAGTGATCTAACTCCTGCTACCTTGTTTTTTTGTATAACTTGGAGTCCGGTACATATCTCAAACAAGAAGCAGGGTATATCGTAGCCTGGCAGGGTTCTATCGGGCAAATACCTGTGTTGCTAAGCACCCAGCCCCTCTGTTGCACTCAGACCCCCAACAGCAAGTTACAAATAAAATGTATAGGAACTGGGTTAAATTTAGGGATTGGGCTAGATCAGTGATGGCGAACCTTTTTTGGATCGCGTGCCATAAGGGGGTGAGCGCAGGGGGGTCATGCGCAGGCATGCCACACCCATAATGCCATGCATGACCCCCCAAGTGTGCATGAGGTGCTCCCCCCATTTTTCCATGCTTTTTTTGCCCCCCTAGGCTCCAGAGGCCTTATAGGAGCCTGGGGAGGGCGAAAACAGCCTCCCCACCCCCCCGGAGGCCCTCCA